GCCCCTCCTGCGCGCGCCCCCACCTCCAACCGTGGAAGTTACACACCTTTGGATTGCATTTCGCCGTCACCTTCTCCCCCACCCCACCTCCCGGCTCTCGCTCGCGCGCTCCCCCCCGCTTTCCTTTTAGCTTTTGTAAGTTACACGTCAAAATGGCCGATCTGACATCGGTGCTCACTTCTGTTATGTTTTCTCCCTCTAGTAAAATGTTTATCGGTGGACTGAGCTGGCAGACCTCACCAGGTAAGGGAGGGAGGGGGGGACGCCTGGGTCCCCCCCTTCTTGGCTTCTTTATTGCTCTTTGTTATCCCGGTGTAGGAGCTTCCCCCCCCCCCCGCCGCCACCGGCTCCCCACTTCTCCTGTGCAAGGTTATTTTTTTAAATAGCAAATCCTTTCTGAGCCCTCTACGCGACCTCTGTTGCCGAATTTCCCCCGCGTGTGCAAAAAATACAAAAACAAAACAGAATAACAACAGAAAACTACTTTTGGTTTTTGTCCTTGATCAAAATTTGCATTGCTTTTTCCCCACACCTCCCCCCCCCAATCTCTCTCTCGCTCTCTCTCTCTCTCTCTCTCTCTCTCTACAGATAGCCTTAGAGACTATTTTAGCAAATTTGGAGAAATTAGAGAATGTATGGTCATGAGAGATCCCACTACGAAACGCTCCAGGTAAACCATTCCTTTCTGGATTTTGCCTTTATTTTAGAACAAAGTTTAAGTGTTATTTTTGGAGGTGTCTTCGGAAGTAGCTAAGCGGATTTAGAATGGGGCTCAGGCATGTGGCTGTTTTCGAACGTCGCTCTATCCCCCCCCCCGCCCCCATAACCCCAAAGGTTATTGTAAATTGGGGCTTGAACTCTGGATACAAAGATACCTATCTCTCCGCTTTAAGTCATTTTCCCGTCGTTTCTTATTTTTCCCGTTTAAAATGACATTCAGCTTCATTCACTTTCCATATAGTTTAAAAAAAATTTTAAATGTATGCTTCCCCACATTCCCAGCTCCCCAAACTCTTAAGCCCCTCTTAGAAAGCTGGATGAATCTCTTCTGAGGGCCGGGTTTTCTTCGGAATAAAACAAAGCGTTAAGAAAGGGAAGGGGAGGAGGAGAGGAAACTGAGGTGGCGAAAGAGTGGAGACACCAGCTTTTTCCAAGTTACCTCCACCCGCCCTGCCCCCGTTCCACTTCCCCCATTAACCTTGGTGTGTTTTCTTGCGAGGTAGAGGGCTGTAGACCGGACGGGATTGGGGGAGGACCGTGGGGGGAACTTTTGCTCTCCAGTCTGCATTAAGAGTTCACTCCTTGTTGCTTTCAATGGTGTCACATTTTCTTGTTTGTTTTTCTCCCTCTTTGTCTCATTTCAGAGGCTTCGGTTTCGTCACGTTCGCAGACCCAGCAAGTGTAGATAAAGTATTAGGTCAGCCCCACCATGAGTTAGATTCCAAGACGGTAGGTTGCTTTTCGTTGTTGTTGTCATCTGTTTCCCCCCTTTTCAGGACCGATCTGAGCATTGACAGCCCCATTTAAAGGGACAGTGCATTCTTTTGCTTATGTGCTGAGAGCTGGGTACTTTTAAGCAGAGCTGTGAGTTGGCTCTCAAGTTTGCTGCCATGGCTGAGTTTTGGGTTTTCTTTTTAGAGCCTGTCCCACAGCAGCTCCAGATGCTACCAAGCATAGGCTTGGGGGAGGGGTCGGCTTGAGGGGAGGCTATTTTCCGGCCGAGGGACCCTGCAAAGAAACTCCACCAGACAGCAAAGACAACTTTTCTTTGTCAGCCGAGCACAGCACGCGTTACCAACAGTGGCTGTGGGAACTGGCTTTCAGAAGGCACAGCCTGCTTCACAAGGGGGATGGCGCGGGAAGGAGGCGAGGGGGCGCTCATTCCAGGTCCAGGCAACAGGTTTCTCTTGGGGCACTCCGGATTCGGAATGGGGTTTGAGAAGGAAAGGAGGCGCTTTCCGGGCCAAGCTGGGCATCCAGTGATGACTCCAGATGGCGTGAAATCTAAGGCTGATAAGGCCTTGAGTTTCAAAGTGATTTGTTTTCCCTTTTCTTTCTCAGATCCTTTATTCCGAGTGTGGGTACTTTTATAGCATTAGAAGGTTTAAAGCCCTGTGTTGATGGGGGGGAAGTCTCTAGGTAGAGATCAGAAGAGGGAGGGAAGAAAGTATCAGTGTATAATAATACATTTAATGGGGCGGGTGCATAGTGTTTTTATTTAGACCCATGTGTTAGCTCTGTGCTTTCCTCCCTTCTCTTTATGTCTTATAGAATTTCCCAGCAGCTTTTATACATCTGCCAAAGCAGAGGCTCTGAGGTGACATTGGGATGCTGTGCTGGGCTGCTTGGGACTTCACTTTTCTGTAGTGGGGTAGTAGGACAGGGCAAGGGATTGGGTTCTAGTCCCAGCTGCCCCTTACAAACTTGAGCAAGTTGTTCCCTGCCTCTGGGCCTGTGTCCTCTTCTCTAAAACAAAAGCGTGGAACTGAGGTGAGGACCCCTTTTGGTTTTAACATTGAATGGAAGAGAAGAAAAGAAAAACCTGACTGCTTTTGGTGTACCTGCATTGATTTTGCAAATTTACTGTTTCTCTGATCAGAGGTCAGGTGCATGGCCCTTACCCCCAAGAAAAGACCTCGCGCACACTTAAGTTGCCTTATTAATGGTGCTGATTTGTCATAGCCTGCGGCCCAGCCTTTTTGCACTTTTAGGTCATTTAATTTCAGGGATGATCATTTGTTAAGGTGATAATGGATATTTGAAGAATGTTTTTACTCTTTGATTTTTTCTGCTAGACGTTTCAGAAAGCTAGTAAAATTAAAGAGGACAAATATTTCAAGGCAAATCTGGGAAATTATTATTCACCCCCTTTCCCCACCGGGAATAGGAGAAATAGTATTGGGTTTTCTATCGTGGCTGGTGGGTCATATCCTTCAATATCTGGAGCAAAGCCTGCAGTTTTCCCTCCCTAATTGTTTGTAGACATGTTTTGGTCACTATTATATTTAGTATAACCTAGCTTTTGACTTTGTTTCAACGTTCAGTGCAGGAGGCAGAAGCGGTTGGTTTATTGACATGGAAACAGAGGATCTTGTTTACCGTTACCTTAAAAGCTTTGTTTAGGTAACGGCCATTCACATCCCAAATAGTAACCTAGTCTTTTCCTAGAGGATTTGTAGCTACAGTAAGTAGAGCTGTACCTAACTAACTAATGTTTTAATTTTTGGTAGTTTTCTTTTTTGTTCGTTTTAAAAAAAAATAGTTGACAGGGATGTGCAAAAGGTTGGGATTTGCCATACTAATCTTGACCAGCCCTCTCCCTTGGAGATCTCAGCGTGTAAACTTTGCACACCGAAGAACTCTTCATTATGATCCAACACGCTGTTATCACAACATGCAATACAGGAATTCTGAATTGGCTTTGAGTTTGATAATTTTAGGTATTTTTTTAGCGCTCCGCCCTCTTCACTGCTCCCTACTCCCTCCAGCTCCTGGCCTCTCACCAGACATGTCCCTCACCGTTTACCCAACAAACAAGATGACTTATTATTGTAATTGTGTGCTGGTCAGCCAAAAAAAAAAAAAGACCTTGGGAGAGTGTTTATGAGAAGACGTATCTGTCTTACGTTTGGTCAACAGAATGGAAATCCACACCTGTTGTATTTCTCTTGTAGACAGCCCTAGTCAGTGCTGAATACACCTGTAGATGCAGTAATGTTAATCTTGATGAAAGGGTAGTTTCCTAGATCAGAGATTTCGGTCTCTTAGTTTTTGAAAAGTAATCTCTCATTTCTCAGGTGATGTTTAAAGGTAGAAAACAACCACGCTGCAGACTTTTGTTAGGTCTTTAAACTACCTTAATAAAAGTGGTAAATCTTTGATAAATGTGGTAAGTGTATGTCTTACCTGCTGGGGTCCTAAGACATGTTAAGTCTGTGAACAAAAATCATCTGTGGTGTGTCTTTCCCCCCGCGCTGTGCTCTTTCCCAGAGCGTCATTCTTTTTGTTTTAACTTTATGACAGAACTGAAAACAGGTTCAGAGTTAACATTTTGAGGGAAAAATTTTAATATGAAAGCCAAAGCCTATAAAAGAAATAACTTGTAAAACTAAAATAAAAAAATAAAATAACTTGTAGCAATATTCATGCCACTCAACGTTGAATTTTACCCAAAGATTCATGACATTTAAGAAATCTAATGAAAATCAACAATGGGAATATTTTTTTATTCTTCCCTCTTCATATTTTCTATCCAACTACTTTAACCTCTTCTAGTCAGCCTGTTAGATTCAAATGCTTCCGTGGGAATTGTTTTGAGTTTTAAAGCCAGTTCTGGTTGAGACTCGTGTTCTGTAAGTGTCTAAC